TGAGTGACATTAAGTACTTGATGTCAGAATGTTGAGTGCGTTATGTCGTCACGCCGCGGCGAAAAGATCACAGCCCTTGCAAATCATCCAGTCGGCTCGCTCCAATGCTTCCTGCCCGCAACGGAGAAGCGCTTTGCTGTGAGAAGATGTGACGGAAAACAAAACAAAAAAAACAAAAACCATCCCCGCCACTTAATCAGTCAGCCTGAGCTGGAACAAGACTGAGTGGTCCGCTGCCATGGCGACGCGTCCAAACAGACATGACCCATTTCTGAGTAAACGAGAGGCATTTACCGCTGAAGGACGTTGCCATTGGTTTTCACTCTGCGGGTACCCCACATCATCGTTTCCTTTGCGTCTAGAGTACAGTAGGTCATTTCATTCTCGGCGGGTGTTCACGCAGGAGGAACTGCGCGACGTTCACTTTGCTTGAACCCAATGAAAATACAAAAGGGGGCAAGAAATTGTCAAATGTCCATCTCCTCCTCTTGAGTCCGGTGCTTATTGCCTTTGGCTCCCGGTGGCGTTGCGGGATGCGAACGGCCGTTCCCGCTGCCGACAGAGCCGACAGTCTTCCGTATTGCCATATTTCATTCCGCCCGTGCTCCTCAACGAGGTACGGAGTGTCTGCATCTGTTGCTAAGCTACGGAGTAATGCATGCGTTCTGAGCACCCCGTCGGCCCGCTCCTGATCGTGACAACAATTTTGCTGTCATTCTCTGGCTGTTTTGGGTTGACATTTTAGTGGCAGCGATTGCACACACTTCTCACCTGCCGTTGTCAACGGTTAAGTAGAATGAGGTGAGTTCCTTTTCCCATCAGAGAATGACCTCCGGGCGGTGATTATATTCGGCATCATTTCAACCGTCCCCTCGTGGAACGATCGAGCGAGCCATTTCATTTAAAAATACTCAAATCCATCTGGCAGGCTGAAATTTGAATCCTGTTTACCTTTGAAGCATATTACATGACTTTTTCTTTCTTTTTTTTAAGCACGTGACTCGAGGGACTTGGCAATAATTAAATAAAATCTAATTGATGTCTCTTAAAAGGAGCTAAAGTAGTTGGCTCGACATGTTCAAGCTGCCCAAGTTGACTGTGCCTGACAGGCAAATAAAAACATGCCAGTCCCCTTGGGAACTCGCTACCATGCAAAATCGGATTGCGACGGTAAACTCCTTCGTTACTGCCTCTTGCAATTAGTTGCGAAGCGTCCGTGCGGGCACCTGCCAATCCCGCAAGCCTTCGAATTCTTTTGTTCTGAATAAATGAAAGATGTTTCTCGATTGCCGTGTTTCCGTACACGCTGCAACCGGAGATGGAAGACAGTCCGTTGTCAAAGACTGGCTTTTGCCCAGGGAATTTTTCAAGTCAAACGCTTGCCACCATAAAACCTTTATTAACTCTGTTTTGTGTCATATTTGAACATCGTCATCAAAAAAGCAATCAAACTCTTCAAGATGGCACATGAGGAAGTGTCAAGTCAATGATAGCCATCTCGCAGGTGTCAAACTCAAGCCGCGGGCATCGAATCTGGCGCACCTCAGCACTTCATGTGGC